AGAATCGTCTAGTCGAGACGGCGTAATATTTTTTTATTATCTTGTAAAAAGTCGTGCCTTGCACGTATTGTTATATCGTCGACAATATAGTTTAGTAAATAATATAAAAATTTTCACTGCCTACGTGTGTCATTTTGATTTTCGTTAATTTCAAGACGATAGTGTAAAATGATACATATGTAGATTATATTTGATTTTATAATGTTCTGTTTTTTATTTTCAGGCATGGCAGAGCCAACTATTAGTTTTACTTGAAGAACTTTGTATGCTATCATGCGTGACTGCAAAGGAAAGAAAGTGGAAAAAAAGTTTGATTTTTTGGTAACTACACTAGTTGAAATAACGTAATGCACCGACAACAAAAAAACCCGATTCTGATATGTCTTATAGAAACAGAGATATAACACTTGCCACTGTAGCTTAAGTATCAAGCTGGCATAGTCAATCTATCTTACAAACAACAAGGGCAAAAAATTAAATTAATAAAAAATTCTAAAGCAACAAAAAGGCAAAAAACAATGACACAAACCAGATTCTACTATATCTCATAGAAAGAGTGATACAGCACTTGCCACTGTAGCTTAAGTATCAAGCTTGCAAGGTAAATCTATCTTACGAACCACAAAAGCAAAAAATAAATCAATATATAATTCTAAAACAACAAAAAGGCCAAAACCATTACCGCGAATTCAATTCTGATATATCTCATAGAAACAGAGCTACAGTACGTGCCACTGCAGCTTAAATATCAAGCTAACATAGCATAGCTTAAGTATCAATGTATGGGCCATTGTTTCTTACGAACCACAAGAGCAATAAATAAATATATAAATATATATTTGTAGAGCAAAAAATTGGCAAAAAAATATGCCGTAAACTTGATTCTGATATTAGAATATGGAGTACCACAAGGATCTGTACTTTGTCCTATTTTATTCAACATATATATTAATGGCTTTAATGGCTTGTTTCCTTTAAAAACCATGGACATTACTGACAAACTGTTAATAGTTAATATAAGAAAAACTAATTACTTGCCCTTCAGCTGTTATTTTTCTGGTGATCCTCTTTTCGATCACCAACTCACTTTCCATATTATCTGAAAATATTTAGGTGTAATTATTGATAGCAAATAGGAAATGGTACATACACATATAGTATGAAATAAGTAAATTACGAAGTTTATTATTTAAATTTAGAAAATTAAAAGATACTTTACCTGAAAATTATTTTAAAATGTTATACTTTGCCTTTATGGTCTAGAAGTAATGCAGAGAAGGTTCTTAAAATTCTGTCAAAAAACTCGAGGTATCCACCAGATGCGTTATATGCGAAGACAAAAATATTGGACCCAAAACAATTATATTACTTGTGTTTGTGTATAAGATATCACCAGGGGCGGTTTCTCCATTGGTTCATTTATGCAGTGAACACCCAGTTCAATTTCATAAAAACACATTATTTTAAAATTGCATAAATAACATAAAAATATAAATTTAATTTTAATATTTTTATTTTCATACGTGTTAATGGCTGATTGCGTCTCTGTGGCACAATATACCTCTCAGGTAACATTTTTAGATTTATCAAAGTATACAAGGTAACCATAAAACCCTTCTTTAAGACACTGATAAAACTTTTTAATCCGCGAGATAGCCTTAGGGCTGTTATAAATCTGCTTTAAGGGTAAAAGGGAGAATCCTATAACGGTTATTAGGAGTATTTTTAAAACAATATCTCAAGACTAGACTTAAGAAAAAGTCCGTAAGAGTATATTCAAAATTTTATTAAACCATTTTTAAATATTTTTTAAGATTATGATAATAAGTGGGATAGGCATAAAAACATTACAAAACTAATCAGTTTTAAGAGAATTAAATTTTAAACTGTTTTAGCTTTATTTTGTTTTATCATACTCTCTGACAAAATGATTTTGCAAACATGTTGGAAAGACTGCCATATTATAAATTAATTATTATATAGTGTATGTTTAATTTGTTTAGTTACACTTATTTCTTTAATTTTCAAACACACACACACACACACACACACACACACACACACACACACACACACACACACACACACACACACACACACACACACACACAAACACACACACACACACACAAACACACACACACACACACACACAAACACACACAAACACACACACACACACACACACAAACACACACACACACACACACACACACACACACACACACAAACACACACACACAAACACACACACACACACACACAAACACACACACACACCAAAGTACTCTTAAAAGTGGGCAAGGTGGGTCGTAATAAATGATGGGCCTTACAATATATGAAATATACGTGAAAAATGATTATTATATGGGTACTTATCTATTTACCGAAATTTATTTAATAGACATTGTAAATATCGAATATATAAAATGATTATATTTGTCTTCGGTACGTTTTTCATTAAAAATATCACATTTTGTATTTTTCAAATTATTTCATGGAAGTGACTATTTAACCGGCAATATAATTCCTATTGTAGATTTGTCTTTGCATGCATACTTTTCATCGTCAGAAAACCATTCAATTGCGCATACTACCTACTGGACAACATAGTATATTCCAATATAAATTACATTTATATACCCTAAAAGGAATTAGCTGTAGATATGTTTGACAAATTTGACATTATGTGGTTAAACGCAGTAAACTCAATCATAAATAATAAATTTACTATCATTGGCACAATGTTATCATTGACACACTGTTGTCATTGACGCACTGTTTCATTGACACACTATCACTGTCTTTGGTACATAAAATACGTCATTACTAAAATCGAAAGAATTTAAAATTATTTGAACTTTGACCATAATTTATTTGAATATTCTTTAGGTACATGTCTGGTAGACAGGTACTATTTTACATGATATGTGGTTAAATAGCCAATGCCATATTTAAAATCAGGGATTTTCTCATTGTGTTCTATCTGTACCTAAAAACGGACATTAGTTTATAAAACTATTAAAGCAAAAAAAATACTTTTTAGGACTTTCCAGTTTTAAAAAGCTCCGGCTACACTTTTTAAAGCGTTTCACAAAACAGTAGTAAAAACGAAAACCTCAATAAAGCATTCATAAGTTCAGTCAGACGGGCATAACCTAACCTCACTCCTAAGCTTCTTATTTACTCTACGAACAAGTCATTTAAAATATAAAAATTAGTCATAATATATTAACCATTTTTCTCTTTCACTGATTATTTCCAGAATATTAGGAGCCTAGGAATGTTTTGATATTTGTTAAACAATGGAACACAATGAACTTATTAAATACTGAGGAAAAGAAGAAACATATACATTTTTTTTATTCTCTATGGAAATTACCACTTTTCTTTATTTTGAACAATTTATGTTTCAACGTCAATATAATGTGATTGGGTTAAAAAGCTAGGTTATGCTCCAAAACAAACTTTAGTTCTTATTAAAACTATGTAGTTTTAAAAGAGCCCTATGGTGTATTAGATTAAATAAATCATAAGAGTTACGTTGTAAAATTGTAGAAAATGTACCTAAAAGGTTCTGGGATCAATTTAATTTAAAGTTTAATCCTAAAACACTTTTTAAAACTAAGTTTTAAAACTTACTTAAGATAACTACTAAAAAGTATGCCCCTTTAACACCAAACACACCTTAGGACTAAATAGTTTTAAAATTACTTATTAATTAACCCTTACAAGACAGCGATAAAGCATAGTTTACTTTAGGATAAACGAGTTTTCCTAAACAGATTTAAAGAAATCTATAAAACTAAGTAATAAGATCACTTTATTCTGCAGTCCTATTAGCAAAAAAAATAACTGTAATAAAATAATTGTAAATTTTTATGCTTTTACAAAATCCTAATAAAACATAAATGAAACTTTATTCTCTTAAAAATGTTACTTGGGTAGTGCGAAATTACAAATTTGTACGTTATATTTGATTTTCTATTAGTTTTACTTAAAGAACTTTGTATCATATCACGTGTGACTGCAAAGGAAAGAAATTGAAAGAAAAGTTTATTTTTTTGGTAACTACTCTAGTTGAAATAACGTGATACAATACTTGCCACTGTAGCTTAAGTATTAAGCTAGCATTAGTCTAAAGAACGTATTTATAAGATTGCTAATTTTGACACCAGCTTTCCGTGGAAGCATATTCAAGATTACACCTATTATGAGGTCAAATTCAGGGACTATTTTGGATTTATATTTGTTTGGATTTTAATTGGAGAGATAGATTTAAGGGGTTGGTTTTCTTGTTCTAGTTTCATCTAGTTTTGAAAATATGCACCATAATTGGGTTGGATAGTCTATAAATGTTCTGCAAACCCGTTTGCTCTTACAAACTGATTTAAGGCCAGCTTCAACCTTTGTCTCTACATTATGTCGAGTTTTGAATAGCCTTCTTAGGCCAGAGTTAGTCATATACATATACTCACACGAAGCTTGTATAATTTTTTGCTCACCTGGTGTTTCATTAATAGATTTAAATTATTAGTATTGGCATGCTGATTTGAATTAGAAAATGAACAACTGTATGTTGTGTTCTGATAAAGTGGATCCACCTGATAGAATAAAATGTACCTACTGCAGGAACAGCTTTTTTTTATAAATGTGCAGCGATCTCTAGAATAGTTTTAAAACTATTAATCATTTTTTGGGTCTGTAATGGCTGAAAAAATTTCCCATGTTCTCCAATTATAAACAGATTAAAAGAACAAATGAAATTGTTGAAAGAACATGATGTGCTAATTCGTCAACTGTGCATGAAGAAAAACAAAAACTCAAATGATGGTCCAAATGGTTCTGGTGTTCAATCTCTCTACTTTGTGGCCCTACAAAGTATTAATGCAGTTATAGTAAAACCAAAAATCAGAACCGAAAAACTACGAAAACCAAATCCGACATACTACATGTAATCGATACAGATATAAATATTGCCAGTGTAAAAAATATAAAACATGGAGGTATTGTGGTGGGATGTCGCAACGAAGGTGAAATTCAAGAATATCATCAATAAAAAACTTGGTGAGACGTACGAAACAAAAGAAGTCAAAGGAATTACAGAAAATATTGAGGAAGAATCTCTTATTAATTATATAAAATATCAAAATAAAGATTTATTTCAAGAAAATTCAGAAATTAGTATAATTAAATATTGGGCAACAAAGAAAAATAGTAAAGTGTACCAGGCTATCTTGCAATTAGACCTGCATACTTACAATAAAATGACAGTAGGAATGGGTAAGTTGTTCATTGGTTATAATGTATGTACCGTTTACGATTTTGTAGCTATTAAGAGATGCTTTAAACGTATCAATTGTAATCGTGTTTCTCAGGAGTGTAACAAAGATTTAAGTTGTCCTAAATGTGCTGATTCACATGAATTAAAAAATGGTACTGAAAATAATTTTTAGAGTGTTAATTGTTGTCAATTTAATTTAAAAAACAGTGATCGTATAGTAGATGTTTGTCATGTTGTCTGAGATTCAGTTAAATGTCATGTTTATCGTCAAAAGGTGGATGAATTTAAGTCCAATATGTATATACCAGAATATCAACCAAACCATAAAAAACAATCTACAGTTAATAGTAAAAAAGAAAGTATATTGAATTTATGTATCTACTACCAAAATGTGAAGGGATTGAACTGCAAAACACATGAACTCTTTAATGCGTCAGTAACTTCCAGCTACAATATCTTGGTGCTCACGGAAACCTGGATAAATGAATCTGTTAATAATTTAGAATTATTATGTTATTTACAGATGTGATCAAAAATATAATATATTATTAAAAACTAGGAGAGGAAGTGTACTAATAGCTATTAAAAAAGTGGAATTGTTCAAAAATTAATATTGATGTTTGTTGAAATTACATTCAACATATTTTATCTGCAGGGCAGATTAATCTAAATCAGCATTTAACAATCAAAAAAGAATAAAATACTAATTAGACACTTCCTGTATAAACCTCCGCAATTAACAAATAAAAAAGACAAATACTAAATAGACACTCCCTATATAAACCAATTAGCCAAAGTTGTTCAATAACCACCCATTTAACTTTCAAGTAACTTTCAAAGACACCTGCTACTTCGCGAACAACTAAAACTAGTCACGCGAGATTTTTCACCCAATCATAAGACAGATCTTAAAAACAATAGTCTCGCGTGCAATCATACGATACTAGATAACCAATTAAAAGAAAGCCGGTAAAGCCGGTGCGAGCTAACAAACAACAGCTGAAAAAAACTAAACATCACTTTCGCTTTGTCAGTCGAACAAGCAACAAGTCGCAAAAACTTTAAAAAGCCGGCATTCGCAATATAATCAATTCCAAGCATTGTGCGATTTGATTTATAACTGTTAATATGTAACTTATCATCTTATCAGTACTTCTACGTAACAAAGAGTTGCAAATGTGTTAAATGTGAAAGTATGAAGCAGTGGTTGGAGCATTAGGCCTTCACCCAAGGTAATCTATGTCAAAGACAGTCATACAGTCCACCATGATCGAAGGCAGTATATTTCAAGCCCAATAAAGCTAGGGTAGAACAATGTTGTTGAGCACGTTATGCCTTATATTGATATTGTTTGTGTAAAGTTAAAATTAACGGAATCAGAAAACATTTTCATCTTTGACATATACATTCAACCTGAACTGCAACCTAATTTATATGAATCACTTTTTGAAATACTTGAAAACTTAAACATTTTATATCAAAATCCAGTCTTATTCATTGGCGATTTTAACATACCCGAATACGTAGACAATAAGAATAGTACTCGTAATCTTGCACTTTCTTTCTTCAACGCATTCCTAGATTTAACTAAATAGACCCAGTTTCAAATAATAAACCTTTTATTTTGTTATCAATCTGTTGACCCTTTATTAATTATAGACAAACATCATCCTCCACTAGATATTACTTTGTCAACTGATAAGAAAACACCTGTAAGAAACAATCCAAGTAAAACGTCTTTTAATTTTAAAAAGGCTGATTTTCATTTTCTTTATAATGCACTGGCCAATGTGAATTGGGATTTTTGATTAAATATAAAAGATATTGAATTAGCCTACGACTCATTTTATTCTACCCTAAACGAGATATTTGAAGCTTTTATTTCCAAAACTTACGGTAGACGAAGAACATATCCTCCTTGGTATTCAAAAGAAACAATTGGAGATATAAGGAAAAAATCTATTATCTTTCGAAAGTTAAGACGATCTAAAAGTCAGTCGGATATAGATGATTTCAAATACTTAAGAAGCAAAATTAAAAGAGATATCAATAGATCGCATAAAAAATAATTTAAAAACAGATGTCAATTCCTTTTTGAATTATGTTAACTTAAATACACATTCCGCTGACTTGCCTTAAACAATTACCTATGATAACAGCATTTGTGGCTCTACGCAGATAATAGTAAATCTTTTTAAAAAGCTGACACCAAAGTGTACAAAGGGTCCAGATATTATTCCATCATTTTTGGTCAAGGATTATCCCTTAACGATACTCATTAACTTATCTTTAAAATCAAATAAGTTTCCATGTGTTTGGAAATCGAGCAGAATTTCTGCGGTATTCAAAAAGGGGATAAATCTAAAATGGACAATTATGGGCCTACTACAATTATTTCCAACTTCGCAAAAGTTTTTGAAATCGTTCTTAATAATAGGTAATATATGAATATTGAAAATCAAATTTCGCCTATTCAACTTGGTTTTCTAAAAGAAAGTCCACTGTGACAAATTTACTTTGCATTACACAGTTTATTGCTCAACATTTGGATGAATCGTTTCAGGTAGATGTGCTCTATCTTGATTTCTCAAAAGCTTTTGATAATCTTAATCATCACCTTCTGGATAAACTAAGATGTTTTGGCCTAAGTCCATTCCTACTTTTATTCTTTCAATCATATTTAGAACAACGGAATTTCTATGTTGAGCATAAAGGTGTTAAGTCATCGGTTACGTAAGTCACATCTGGAGTACCTCAAGGATCCGTTTTTTACCTTTGTTCTTTAATGTGTTTATTAATGACATAACTCAAAAATTACTGTATAAAACACTTATCTATGCTGATGACATAAAGCTTTACAGAGAATTTAAATCTGGAAAGGATGCTATTGCTTTACAACGCGATTTGGAAATTGTTTCTAACTGGTGTGTGGGTAATTTCTTGAAACTAAATATAAACAAGTGTTCCATTCTGAGTTTTTTTCCGAAAAAACTATCCGTACTATTTCGACTATAAAATTAATAACTGTAAAGTGCCGAGAGTTGATTTTTTTAAAGATCTAGGTATGACCTTTGACTGACAGCTTTCGTTTAATGTTTACATTGAAAATACAGTCCTTCTAATACAATTTATGTATTGATATTGTGATGGCCACCCCCCCAGGCCCCCTTTTCTATTTGATTTTATTCTTTGTTTTTACTTTACTCTCTTTGAAATGTTATTAATTATTTCACAAGTTTTATATTACTTTATTGTTTATACTTACTGTATTTGGCCTTTTTTCCTCTAGTAGTAAAAGTGATCGTCTAGTTCATTAATTGATATTTTATGTACCCACGTTGTGATAATGTTAATTAAGGTAAACCAGAATTCGATGCAAAGTTTGGTGCAAATTGATAAATAAAACATACAAATTCATATTTAAACTCTTTTATATTTGTCATACTTAAATTTGATGCAATAATTACAAAGTATATTACAATTGTTACTATTTACTGAAATCTCACTTGAGTCCCGTTCAAACGCAGACCATATTCATTTGCTATCAATATATATCTTATTTATGTTGATGACCAACGGAGTTAACGAACAGCGTCAATTCGCCAGTTGGTTAACTATTGAGTTGATGTTGATTTGATTCTATTGTAGATATATACAGGTTACACCCTCTTGAGTAAATATTACGATGAGTATAGAAGTGATGACTAACAGAAGTAACAAACAGCGCCAGTTCGCCAGTTGATTACCTTATTATGTTGATTTCACATATACTTTGTTTCAAACCTTGTAGAATGGGATGCTTAGCGTAAAAGTGTCCCCCCTTGAGCTAACGAACAGCGTATTCGCCAGTTGGTTAACTTACTAATAAATTTTATCATCTTGGTTTGTACAGTTTATCCAAGATAGCACAACCCTGTATATTTCCAAAATATTGATTTTTATAATTTCTATTGACATGACTTAATATAACCCTGTATATTTCTTATTATTGATTTTTATTATTTCTATTAAAATAGTCAAAATTTCACCCATCCAAAACAGATGTTATCCTATCTTTTGAAGTGTATGACCTGAATGCCATGTGGTTTATTGATAATATTTTACAGCCTGTCCTTAAACGAAACCGGGGTGGTATCTCAAAGAAAGATACGTAAATCTTTTGACTCACCACTGAAAATACAGACATTAGATTATGTACTAATTTCATCTAGCGTCGTGGAAGGCGTCGATTTAGGTACGTCGCGGCCCTGAGCGCCGCCTCGCGTCGAGACGTCTAGCGTCGTGGTGGAAAGGAAGGTATTTAATACGGTACTGTATTGGGACAGATATACGGTAGAATTATGTAGGTGGTGCGGGACGTGATATGAAGGAAATATTTATGGACGGCAAGTGTCTGAAATAAGGCATGGGACGTTAAGCGTCTGAAATAAGGCATGGGACGTTAAGCTTCGAAATGAGTGTACGGTAGAAAATACTTAGATGGTGAGGAATGTGACAGCGTTCGAGACGTAGGGAATAGGACGGCATGACGTTGGGCGTCGAGAAGTTGACACACATAGGAGGTATTGTGGGATAGACGCCGTTTAGGAAGGGTACAGACTATATAACTGGGTACAGACAATAAAGTGATTGCTTTAATGTAAAATAATAAAATGTATGCTTGCACATCAAATGATAAAAATTGAATGAATATGAGTTCCTTTTCGTCAGACTTTTTATACACAGTTTAATCGTATCTGTGACGTCTCTATCGTTTTGTTTCTCATAGAAACTACGAATGTAGGTGCAAAAGGGGGTGGGTTATTTATTACTTGTTTTGAAATCTTTGTGTATTGAAATATTGTCGAAATCGAAACTAGAAATATAAACGAGTTAAGTGTTTTAATAATAATTACTTCGTAAACAGAAATACGCTTTATGGTGTTTTCTTTCTCGAGGAACTCAGCCACGTGCATCTTTTACGGACGTGGTTATAGATATTATTTATTAGGTGTCGTAAATAAGATTTAATTATCTGGGAGATTTTTCGTTAAATGGAGCATTTTGGTATTTAATAAGAATGTAATATTGTATTTAATAAATGTAATTAATAAATTATTAAGGTACCTGGGTGCGGTAGGTTACAATACTTAGAACATGTAAGGGTTTTACGGATATAGATAATTTTATGCT